CCCTGATCTGCCTCAACTGTTTTGGTACTTATCGCCCCCACGTCTTTTTGAAACACAGTCTGGTTGAGCTAGACTCGTAAATATCCCTTGACGTATTCCTCGATATCACTATCCCTTTACAGTAACCCGTCAGCCTACCATGACCACTCGAAGAACATAGTCGCTCCTCCTTATTATTGGTTTCTGGTAATACCCTTGCTATTTCGAGAGCCTCCCATATTTTCCTTCCTATTGCTCCTGGACAGGGCGGAAGTGTTCGAGTGGTAACTGGCGCTGCTTTCCACGCGCACGGTCAGGGAATCAGATCTTGTATCCGATACGGTCCAGCTAACCAAGCCTTCCATACGTCCACAGTCAGTTCAATTATTACCAGTGGGAGATGAAATCGCTAATTCGTACGGCTCACCTTCGCAGGTCATTGCATGGACCAAATCGCGTTAGAAACACCACCACGATTGGGTGTGGACGCAGAATGCGTGGCGCATGCCAGAAGGGATTGATTGACGTTGAATGCTTGACACTTTAATCCTTATTGCACTTTCTTTTGCTTTCTATTTAATGGTATGGTTCTCAGTGGCTAACGAGTGAGGATTCTTCACGAGAATATATTCTACCTTGAAGGAGGAATTCACGATAAGAACGAAGGTCAAAGAAGGGGAAAATTGCATAGTTGGGAGACAGGCGGACCTCCTGAGGGTGCTGACCGACGCGCAATTGGCAGCGAAAGATTTGACCTCGGCGATCTAGCATGGCTCACTCTTGGCGCGGTTGGCGGGGTACGCCCACCGACTATCTAATCACTCGCCGCAGGTCTATACGTGGCGAGTGATTAGATAGCAGAGAGAGCGTAGTGTTGAAGAGGGCACAGCGATGAGAGTCGCATCAATGCGCAAATCAACGGGCAAGGAAGGGGTCCCATTTCTCGGGTTTCGGGCCGTTTCAATGGTTTCTTCTTCATCCCTGCTCCACTGACCACCTCTACCTTATTTCCAATAGCTAACTTTTCATCGTAAATTCTGCTTTTAAACATTGTTTGGAGAAGCGATCAATGGGATAGAGTGCCAAACTTCGTAGCGTTCTTTACGGCATCTATTTTTTCGTGGAGAGACCACTCAGCTTCTCCTTCTTATTCTTGTCCACAGCGATGGAATTCAATTAGATAAATGCCTCAATCCCCTCTCTCTCCACCTCATAGTTGAGACATTTTTATGCATCATTGCAACCCAGTCCTCTCTACTTCATTTTATTTAAACATATACGATGGCGCCGCCTCACTACATCACCTCAGATTTTGTACTGTAAATGAACAAAAACATGAATGTCACAAAATAATTTCAGCAATGTCCAATGCGTAAAGATTATCTAAACATATAACAGTAGTATTTCGATCAGAACGACGAATAGTGGTTACGAAAAGAGAGCATTTATTCACTTTCCCCGTGAAGGAATTTAAAAGCATTTTCACTCGATTACGAGATTTGCCCACCTATCTGTCCATTCCTAGCGCCTGGCAAGCGATTATCAGCTGGCAGCCCATATGGGCTGCCATCGTCCCAGGAGCACATGTTGTTGGCAGCCCATATGGGCGGCCATCGGCGTGAATGTGTTAATGATATCCTAAAGCCATGCCCCAAAGTCAAACTGGCGTGTGTATTGCACATGACCACAAAAGTAATGATGCGAAATGGGCTAGCAGCGAAGAAAAGTGAAAAGAACCTGTCGAAAACTCTTAGTGGCTCATCACCTTCGTAGAAGACTGTTCCAAAGGCAGAATTTGCGATGAAAAGCACCCACAGAGTAAATTTTTCTGGCACGACCTTATCTGCGGTTGTTTTTTTTTCATCTGTTGCTTTTGTGGGGTTTCCGGGTAAGCAAAGCCGAATTTTTTCGCACGTGGCCTTCAGAATACCAACCACTTTTGTGTTAACTGCTCACTTCAGTATGAAAAAAAGTTCTCTGGCCATATGTAACAGAACTGAGTCTAATTCCAATAATTACCATTGAAGAACGTCGGCCCTGGACGCAGTCTTGTCAAAGATGCTCTCAATAAACGATGGTTTCTTGAGAAGTTCTCATCATTGTTAAGATTTGGTGGTGTCGGAGCTGTGTCGCGACTGAAAAACCCTTGCCAAGTTGCAAAAGCAATCGCCTTTGCCGATGATCCTCATGGTCTTGTGTCACCGATGGTTTTAGTTGGATCTGGAGCAGAAGAATGGGCGGAAGAGAAAGGTAGGTTTCAGCAGAAAAAGGATTAGCACGCTATTCTATGCTGTAAAGTGTCGCTCAGAAAGTATGTGAAATATATGCTCCAGCCTAGGATTCTCGCTGAGTGATCCAGCTAAGCTGGTTGCTCCCAAGACAATTCAAGTCTGGAAGAAGGCGCGAGACGCAATCAATGAAATCGGATATGTCCAAGAATTGAAGATGGATACTGTTGGGGCTGTTTCTATCACGGTAAGAATTGTGCCCGAAAAAGTATTAAAGATTTTCGTTGCTTCTACATATAGATCAATCTCTCGTGGTTCAGCTACATAAGATTTTATTCAGAGTAACAGTCCCAGCAGGGTTCTTTACCTTCGACACTAATGGTGTTGAACGATGCGCTAGCCCTAGTCAAGAACATAAGAAGTGTGACTGAACAAAAAACTCACCTTGGAAAGCCGCGAAAGGGAATTGAACGCCTTCGAAGTGGGCTGGCGCCCACCGATCGTAAGCCAAACTTGCCAGCCGTGGAGATTGCGTGACTGGCTGAGGAGGCATTTGCGTGGGTCGCGGATGGAGTTCAAATAGTTCCTGTCGTCCAAGTCGGTCGCAAAGCGGTTAGGCGTCAAGTTAAATAGTGTGCGCATGCTACGTCTCAAATCGGACAGCATGCGCTGCGACTCGGCCTTTGCCGCATCTGCGTCTCTTTCTTCGCCGCGCGACGGGCCTCTTGAGGGACACCCGATGAGAACCGTGACGCTCAAAAACTAATTCACCCATTAGTTCAATCGGTGATTCGGGCTGATTGTTTTGCAAGTAGCAGCACGTTTGCTTTCATTTTGAAATGACAATTCACATTATGTGGCGCCGACCTTATAATCGCTTGTGTGATAGTTATCAATCAAGCGTGATGTTTTAGCATTTACCGGAAATTTTGTAGGTTAAAGTCCAACGACCTTTCTTGGCCGCCATTTATTCTGGATCGAAATGAACGGAACAAGCTAACGGCGGTCCATTTTGCAGTGTTGATTTGACGCGTATTGCTCGGCTTTTTTGCGGCTGGCGTTCGTATTTCTAGCAACCTTATTCCTCCAACCGCTGCATATCCTATCGAAAGGGCGCCCTCTACCTACTCCCTGAACTGTTACTCATTGTGAGCTTGTTTTACCGTAGTATCTCAAAATAGCAAGATATGAATAACTCATTGTGCTGGAGGATTTTTTTTGAAATCTTTTTCTTTGGAACGAAATCTGCAGTCTATGAATTTTTTTATTGTAACGTTCTGTTTGCTCGTTCTGCGTGCAATATGCTTTGTAGGCCATTACTTTTTCAGGAAGACGTTGTTGAGGCTTGCACCTCTAGCGGCGGCATCATACTGAAACCACCTGGTGAGTATGTCTGATTTCATAAAATCTTTGTGCGTGAAACTTGGTATTTGCGGGTCATCTTCTTTTGAAAAAAACCAACCAGGAAAAGTGTGCCAGCTGTGCATTGGGTTTAAGAGAGCATGGCCGTTCCACTTCTTTCCCTTGCCTGACTTCTAAAAAACTATCAATAATCACACAAAATAGTTGTCAGTCAGGCTTTGAAAAAGTAACACCGGGGGAGGGAGGGGGTATACTTTCCCGCTTACGGTTGGGACAGTGAACCGCTTCGATCCTAACCGTTAGTGCTCCGAGCCTATCTCGGAGCTGTTTCATGGGAGTCTTCATCATTTCCATTGCGGTTCCAACCAGTGACGTTTTTTTTATATATTCAGGTCCTTTACAGGTGAACAATCCCCTACGCACCTACACCCATGAAGGAGTAACCTCACTGCTTCGCTTACCCCTGTGCATAGGTAACCCTCCCCTTCCGTTGGCCGAATACAGTTCCCCTCGTCGGTCTTTGAGCAATGGACGACTGACTCTAGGCAGTGGGTGAAATAAGCAAAGGCGAAGCAGCGGCGTACCTAAAGCTAGTGTTTCAGTGCTTATGTGTCCCCGCTCGACCGCAATTTTGGAGGAATATGGTGGCGCGGATGAAGTACTTCAAAGTATTTCTGCTCAGGTAACACCAGGGTCAACGGCACTATTGATGCCATGAATCAGAGGAGGTTACATCAGGGTCAGAGGGGCGGGAGTGGGCATTAGGGGGGGGGGCACTGCTCGACTAGTTCCTCGACGTGATCTTGAACCAGCGAAGCCAAGCCGTCGAAGGGTAGAATTTATTTCGTGATTTCAAATACTTTGAATATTCCTGAGCATTCTATTCTGCACCAACAGAGTTGCAACTCAGGTTAATTTCAGGACGTTTGGGTCATTGCACCATGTTTGGGAGTGGTACATGGGCAGAGCGTCGTGGAACGAGAAGCGTCGGAGTGACTGTAAGCGGATGCGGGGAAGCAATTTTGAGAGCGAATTTCGCTCGATCGCTTGCTGATCGATT